CAAAAAGATTTACATTTCAGGAGCCCCACATTGCGAAACCAGTTCCTTGGACGTGCAATCGACACGGGTCTTTTTGATTATCTCTGGGTTTTATATTATGGCCCATGGGCCACGTGCGAATATTTAGGAAACAACGACTTCACAATCTTCTTAACTCATGGGCAAAATGGACGTCAAAGCCAGGTTTAGCTAATACTCAGTGTTCTTGGGTTTAGTAGCGTCAAATGAGACATCCGCAGCATCCTATGGTTACATACCACCAGAAGAGCTCAAGTCTGAAGTTCTTCCGACCGTGACGGAATCTTCAAACTTCGGAGGAGTCATGCTCTGGAACAGGTACTATGACAAGGAAACAGGTTATAGTACTAAGATAAGGGATGCTTTGGGCACAAAAGTTTACAAATGTGCAGGCCAGGTTCTTGCATCAAGGAGATTCAACAGTCTCTTGGCCAAATCTGCGTAAAAATGCATGGCATGTACTACTACTATATGTAATATATATGAATAATGGCAAGCTCCTGGGCTTGCATGCCAGTATGCATCTATGCACGTTTGACTACGACAGTACTACCATCTAATAGGTGTTTCTTTATATAAAGATCCACTTCTATAAATCTGAGGTTTGAGCAACTGTTACTAAATTGTTTTATCTTAGATAAAATAATATCTAGTACCCTAATCTTATTTTTCAAGTATATCTAGTATCTTAATCTTATATTTATGATGCCTTCAGCATCCTTTTTTTTTTTTTTACTTCCAACATCTTAATCTTATTTATAATGCTTCCAGCACCTAAATCATAAATAAGATTACGGTGATAGATATAATTGAACAAAAAAGTTAACATCGAGGTGTTGAATACATTGGGAAAATAATATCACGATATTGGATGCACTATAAATAAGATTACAGTATAAAATATACTTGAGAAATAATATCAAGATGCTGCAGGCTACTTTACCCTTTTCTTTCAATTGATATCCAAAGCTTTATATGTAAATACTACTACCTCCTCTCCTTTTTGTCTTTTCTTTTTTTTTTTTAAACCTAGGCCTCCTATTCTTAATATGAAAGTTATGAGAGGCTATATTTGGTCTAAATATAAGAAAACACTCAATAAAGTTATTAGACGAAACCTTTTGATTGTGTAATATAATACACATAATACACATATTCCATTTATCATTGTAGAATATATATGTAATATACATATATGGTAGAATGAAATGTTTCAAGACTTAAGATTTTGACATATATGATCATGGTTGCTGTGTGAAAACCTATTGTATTGTGGTTGATTATGTAATTATAAGAAAATACGAAATGATAGATAGATATGAGAATTTGCATTATAGTGTTTATATTTCTTCTCTTGGAATATTAAGTTGTGAAATTATAAAATAATATGTACTTCCAGTCCTTAGTATAAAACCTCATTTGATTTTATTTTGGTCTTAAATATAAGGTTTTAATTCACTATGTCTCTCATATTTATCTATTTTTTCTCAAGATAGTTCTTGTAATAATGGTAATTCTGACTAATAAACTTGATTAGTAAAAATATTTTTAAAAAAACAATGCCTATTTATTACAAATAACTAATTCAAATTATTTTCTCAATCTACTTGAATTATTCAACTAGCTCTTATATTTAAGATCAGCTTGAATTAGTCAACTAGCTTTTATATTTAAGATCAGACGTAGAGGCAGCATACTTAAAGTCCAAAATATTATTTATTAATAAGGCGGAGATCTCTACATATATAGATAAGGTGGTGGTACTACTTGGGTAGATAAGCCCATCCTACTCTACCTTGCCTAAGCACAGCCCAAAATTGCTTGGGCTTTCATCGGGCAAGACTTGGTATTGAACTGCAAAATGCACCTAAATTATATAAACACTATTTTATTCATAAAAACAGGGGGGGGGGGGGATATCACTAGCCATCAATTTACGAATATCTATGTTAATTATCGTCGCCGCAAATGGAGCATATGTTTGAGGATTCAAATCAACCTCAATTAATATAATGCCCTTTAATTATAACTTTTAGATAACTCATAATTCGAAGCTCCCACTCAGTCAAACCATTCATACTTATGAATAATGGGATTAATATTTCAATCTTATGAAAGATATTGCACGCAAAAAAAAATATATAATAAAATTTGTATATATAATAGACATTTTCCACAAAACTAGAAACATGTTTATTTAATTTTATCAATCCATGTATAATTATTTATGAGCCATAAGTCGATATAAAGACTTACTGCATTGAATTTCACCTTCAGATAAACGGAATTTACTGGCTAGGGTGACGTCATTCATTCCTTGGAGTTAAGCGCATGATTTAAAATATTTTCCTCGGGTCATTATCATAAAAAATTCCAATATTATTTATAATATAACATGCTTTGCCTAAAGTATTAATTTTTTCGTAGGCCAAAAAAAAAAGTACTAATTATTTCAACATAGCAAAACATCATAACTAATTAAAACTCCGCTAACTTATAATTTTTGTTAAAATTAATTTTAAAATTTTATTAAAAAAATAATTAAGTTTAATTAATTTCATTGTTTATTATTAGTGCTCGTGACAAGGACGGGAGGCATGGGAAAAGGTGCCACAAACGGCCAATTATAACGGGTATATCAGGGCAGGTTAGTCCCCAACCATCATGTTAGCCCAACATTACCACGGATCAATTCGGGTATTACTCACTTTGACAAGCGTCTCATTTAATGCAATTTTTCATCTCTCAAATTTAAACCTACTTTGGTTTTGATTCATAAAATTTTTACGTCTGTGATTTTAGTTCTTGGAATTTACATCGTTACAAAACATTAGCCCCAAACAATTAAGTTTTACTGAGTTGGCATAAATAGTGTTGGTTTGGATGATGTGACTTCTAACTTAGCAACAACAGTCGGCATGATGAGCCAGACATGAAATTTTTGGGTTGGGAGAGGGGGGGAGTCAGGTGCTCTGTCCTCATGTGCTGCATTTTAAACAGACCTGACTCTTTTTTTCCCCACCTTTCCTAATTACATGTCCAGCTCATCATGTCACCTAATTAGTTTAAAAATAAATAATTAAAAATTTTAAATCTAGACAGTCCAAATCTAATGAGCTTAGGCACTCATCATCACCTTGATGAACACAAACGGATTCCACATTACTACTCCTGTCTTTTTTTTAATACCAAAGGAGAAACGCAGCTCTTAGAGACTATCCATTGTCATCCCTCCCCTCCATGTCTTTTCAAATCGCTTCCACCACCACATCAGGAGCTACTACTATAAGATGGTATCCCAGCGTCGTGACCATAGCAAGCTTGGTAAAAAGGTCTGCTACTTGGTTGCTCTCTCTCGGAACATGCTCAAAGACAACTGTCCATTCTCTGGTTCTCACAGATTTAATTTCTTCAATCAAGGACACATCAACGTGGGTTGAGAGGTCCGCCTCGTTAATCAGCCTGAGGATCTCAGTTGCGTCAGTTTCTAACACTACTTGTCCTGATCCTGAATCCCAAGCTAGTTTAGGCCCTAACAAAATCGGCCAAAGCTCCGTGATCAAAGCATCACCTGTGGAGCCCTTAGGATGAAACCAGATATGAACTCCCCTCGACTATTTCAAATCACACCTCCACTTGCTCCTCCCGTGTGTGTTAAGCAGTCCCTATCGGTATTAACTTTCATCCATCCCTCTGAGGGTGTCCAACTCGGTGAACGAGCCACAGTTTGGCTGCCATTAGACATTACTCCCTAGAGTTTATCGTTCGCACACCTGATGGCTTCCATGGTGGTGGCAAAGGTAGCAGCCTTTAGAGAGGCGTTGCTATGAACTTTTCCTTCAAAGACATACTGGTTTAGCCTTTTCCAAAGCAATCAAACAGTTGTGCAGAAAAGGCTCACCCTGTTCTTTTAAATCAGAGAGAAGACCATGTATGGTGTACATTTTAATCTAGCTTTCACTATTGGCTTTGAAACATAGGCAATTCGTTGCACCTTGTAACAGCACAAGCCAGAAACTCTTAGTGTTTGGACAATCACGAAGGACATGAGTTACAGACTCCAAGTGGTAATGGCACCACGTACATGAAGCATCACTGGTCAAACTGCGTTAGACACATTCTTCATTGCTGTCATTAGACTCCTTTGTGATAGCTTGGTGTGCAGTCTTGATGCTGAAATTTTTGTTTCCTTCATACTTCCAGCGTGTTATTCTATTTTGCATGGTCAATCACAATCCCCTCTTCTGCATACTTCCAAGCTTCCTTTGTCCCCTACACAGCATATTTAATTACCCGTGTCATTCTATGTCAATAGTAAGCTCCAAGTCATTACCACATTTATACTTGCTCCTTATCACCCTAACCCATAGGTCTTCACACCACTTGATTAGGTTCCAACCAAGTTTAGCCATAAATGCTTGATTCTACAGCCTCATGCATTTAACTCCCAACCTGCCATGTGCTTTGGGTTTGCAAACCATCTCCCAAGCGGCTAAATGGGTCTTTCTCCTGTTTTTTGCAGTGGAGCCCTATATGACGGCTCTATTGGTCTTCTAAATTGCTTAGGAAGAGAATATGTTTGCATGGTATAGCTCGGAATAGTTGAGGTGACTGCCAAGAGAAGATTGTTCTCTTGGCAAGAGAAAGGGCTGTATCTCTCTAGTTTGAGAGTCATTTTTTGACTCTGTCGACGATCTCATGGAAACTCTCCTGTGTAATCCGTTTCTCATACAAAGCTACTCCAAGGTATTTGCCCAAATCTGCTGCCATTGAAAGCTCAAAGCACTACTAAACAGCGGTGTTGCAATTGTCTATGATCTCCACCGGGTGATTTGGTAGATTTAGTTCCACAAGATAGTGGTGCAGAAAATTCCAGTTTACTCTGTCATGCACCTTCTCTAGATCACTCTTTATTACCATATAACCTTTATTTCGTTGCATAGGTCGCATAGGGTGGGTGACCTCTTTGGCTACCATATTGTTGACTGAACTGTGTCTCTCAGAGAAAAAACTGCATTGATTGGGGTAGATTATGTTACCACTCCTATCTTAATACTCTTTATAATCTGTTTTCATCTACCTCGCATCGTGTTAACATGATATTTTTCTCTTTTTTGATATAGGGTCAAACAGCACATTACAATCTAGGAGTAATAGAACGCACAATATTACCAGTAAGATGCCTATATAAACTAACATCATACTAAATTACTAAGGCAGAGAATACTTAAGTCAGAATCCAAAGATCCAAAATTCCAACGAATCACCCAATCTGAACATAATGCTCTTCTGCCATGATGCTTTGCTTTATTGGTCCTTAGCTGTGGATGATTGGATATCCACATGTCAACATAATGTTTTTAAGAAAAAATTGAAATAGACAAATTGGCAAAAATAAAAGATATGGAAGGATAGATAAGCATGGTTATACGCCTCTATTTGGGTACTTTTTTAACCCAATATGCTAACTTCTATTTTTTTCAGCTCAAGTCTAGTAAAATCAACTAGTCTCTCATGACATAAAAAAATGATGTTCAAATTCTCATTATGAAAAATGCTTACATTTGCTAGATAACAGAAGTTAACTATAAAAAATTGACTCAAACCACAAAATCACAAGTTCAAATCCTGCTACCCACCTATAACTCACCTAAACTTTTACCTATAAAAAGAATTATTTATGCTTTAGTAGATTATACATCAGATAAGTTCTAACCTGTTGAGGATAGGAGAGATCTTTGTACAATATCAAATAGAACTCTATTCATATTTTTAAGTCATTTGTATCCCAAATCCGCAAAATAAGAAATGCATTAAAGAGATAATTTTTTCACATTTGCTCTTATTAAAGAAATGGTATTAAAAATATATTTTACATATTCCCTCACCTATTTACTTTATCTCTCTCTTTATTTATTAAGTCAACAAGAGAAAATTGAAAAAAGCTCATTTCCCCGCAAGTTACTTATAAATAGGAACATATTAGTAATAATTACAATGATGTATAGTAAATACTGCATCAAGTTTATGCCTTTTCATTGCTCAACACTAAAAGATACCAACCCTTTAACTGCTTCATTCATCTCTACAACCACCACATTATCTGACACATTGGTCACACAATGTGCCACAAATTTAGGCTCTTGAGCATAAAACGAATACTGAAAAAAACTAATCCGGTTAGGAAATACCAACACACTTGAAAAATCAGCAATCCATTTGGTTCCATTTCCCCCTACTGTTAACTTCCCGATCGTTGATCTCAACCCCATTCCATTCACACTGTTCTGATCAATCACCACTTGATCAATATCACCAAATTGCCCATCTAAATTCACAATCGGAACCTTCTTATTGGGATCCCCACTAAACATATTATTCATTATATTTAACCCCAGGGCTTGACCTTTAATTGACTTTAGCACAATATTGGCATCTCCTAAGAATAACCCATTTGTGACATGAACTTGAACTAGGTCTTCCATGACTATGCCTGTATAATCCAAGTAACAATTATCAATTCTAGTTTGTGAATTCCCAGCTAGTTTCACCAATATGCCTATGCCTCCAAAAGATGTCGCTTTGTTATAACAATGGACTCCAGTAATCATATTAGCTTGGCCTCTAAGTGTAATCCCAATGGCTGCTGAGAAAATTACAACATCTGTGATTGCATTGTCATTACTAGCAAGATCAATGGCGGTTCCTGAGTAGTCTTTCTCACCTATGTCTCCACCAACTGTGGAGTGTTGTCCAAGAAAGCAACTCGAGATAAAGGTTTCATGGCCTCGTTGGACTAGAACCCCTTTTGTCGTGAAGTGGAGAAAGAAACAGCTATTGATTCGGATTCTAGCAGAATCAGCAATTGAAATGCCTCCACCTCAGTAGCTCGAGTCGAAAAGGATGTCTCGGAAGGTTATGTCTTCATAGTGAATCACATCATTTTGAGCTTTCTTGCTAGAGATGCCATCGACATGCAAGGATTCCACTGAATTATCGAGTTGTGAAGAGTTTGATGAGGATAACTCGACCAGATACCTGTCACTTGGAAAAGTTTCAGCTGCTCTCAAGCTTCCACTTTTTACCTAATCAACCATATAGATACATGTAGTTAGTTAATTTAATCAATTATACATCTAAGAAAGAGACCTCTATTCAGGTAAAATTTAATTTCTTTGACACAGAAAACTCCTCTTCTTAAGGCATATGCATGAGGAGGGTTATTCCTACTGATTAAGCAAATATCTGCTTTTCTGGCCAAAAAAAAAATTTAATATATGCTTTTCTTTTCTGGCCTCAAATTAAAATCAGGTGAATATGTAATGTTGTGTATTTTGTCTAACACTTTCAAAGGATCCATATTCTATGTATAGGTAGGGCAATTAAGATCTAATGCAATGTAGGTTAAAGATGAATCAATATAAAGAGGTAAACTAAATTTTATTCATAATTCTTTGCTTCTTTGCTTTCATCATTCATGTCACTTTTTCATTAAATGCATAATTGAATGACTAATTAAGAACATGTACATAAATGATCAAATCAAAATTCTTTACTAATATGTTGTTTTCTAAGCCATTAAGTTGTGTTCGTCGGAGAAAACCCTCAAATATTGAAAAGTCAAGACAGCAACACAAGATTTTAATTTATTTTATCTGCAACAGCAACATCTTATATTTACCTCAGGTCCACATTATAAGTACTTCCTCTGCATTTTGGTAAAAGGATGATATGGTGTTACACTTTATATTATACTCCTCCAATTCTTAATATAAGATTTAATTAACTAATTTGAGTAGAGTGAAGATGTTAGCTACATTAGCTAATATGGTATATTTTTTCTAGAATACCCTTAGCATCTTCCTTAATTCCCTCCCCCCTCCTACTTAATTATTATTAGAAAAATATCAATATGATTAATTTGAAAAAAGATTAATAAACTTGTGAAATAAGTCTTATATATAAAATTAATATAAGCTTCTAAATTAGGTCCTACATTAAGGACTGAAGGAGTATTAATATTATACTTTTAATAATCTGACTAATTCATTGCCAAAACTCAAATGTAAAAATAAATCTATTAAATTGTTGTATTTTACTCAATTTTAAATTCAATATTTATAATTACCAATTTTGCAATTAACGGCTTGTAATTTACAACTCATAAATTCAATTTTATAATCATATTGTCGTGAAATATCTTAGTATTACATTTTATTGATTTTGGACAAAATTTTTCTTGCACTTTACATTTGTATATTTAGTTACTTACGCTAACATGAAAAATAAAAAATATAGATAAAAACTAAGATATTTTTAGCCAGCAACATAAAAAGCAACATAAAAAGTAAGATTAACTCATACATACACATGCTCTCACACACATTCAAAGAGTTTTGCCTATACATATGCTACCTCCGATTTTGACTACAAAAGCTAGACAAAAGGCATATTTTTATCTTAAATATAAAAGCTCAACTCTTCTCATATTTATATTTTTTCCCCAAAGTCTCCTTTTGTTTTTTAACAGACCAAACTATCCCTATTTTGAATGCACATGATAGAAGGTTTTCATCAAGAGATAATTAAAAAGATATTTTAGAAAAATTAATATATATTTATCATAAATAACTAACTTAACTAATCTCTTTTAGTATTTACAAATTAATTATTTAACTTTTATACTAAAAACCAAAGAAATACTATCAATGTAGGGGGCAAAGATGTGTTTGATTGAAGGAAACA